CCAACACTAAGCCAGCGCGTTCCCAATAAACTGTTACTGCTTTATCTGAATCTCTCTCCCCATGGATTAAGCAGAGTGTTCACAGCAGAACAGCCGCCTCTCATCAGCGTTTATGTGAAAACAGAAGCAGTGCTGCTGAGCTGGAGCTGAAACTTCATCATTATTTCAGAAGAACCGAGCTGGACCTGATCCGTCTCACAACACCAGGCTGTAAATCACTCACTCAGATAATGAATTAATATCCTCAAATCTTCCATCAGAGTCATGTCAAAGGGAAAATGACTTTGAGATAACTTCAGTTTGTATGCAGCGTTTTTAACTGTCTGAATGTGAAACTCCTGAACGCAGCTTTAATGAAACTGAAGAAAGTTTCACTCCTCATTCAAAAAACCGCAGAGTATTTGAGAAATGTATCATTTAATAAAAACGTGTGAAAACCTTTGTATATATTGTGGTGTGTGTAGCCTTTCTTATCAGCAATTTTCAAAATAAAAATTTGAAATCCAAAAGAACGTGACACAATTTACTATTTAAAGAGAAAATTATCAGATTTCTTCAAAATTTCGCATAATTAAGTGTTTAAGATGTAAACAGAGTTGTTTCAGAGTGGTTTGGTGTGAAACGCTCTGTTCTAGAGAAACTCGACGACGCAGAACTGTTCACAGTGGTGGTGATAGGAACCAGATGTCCACCTCTAAAAGCTCCCTCACAGAATATTGTTACCTGAAATGTTATGAATACACTGCTTACAAAGCAAACGTCTACCAGAGTGCACAGATGACCTAATTATTAAATGTTTGTGTTGTAAATGGCAGGTTCCTCCTTCTCCTGCAGACCAGGGGAGTATTCCACATAGCAGGATTTCTCAGTTTAGCTAGATAATTTAAACCCAAAGTCAAGCCTGTCCAATAGGAAAAGAGCTAAGGGGCATTCCCATTGGACAGTCCTCATCTTTGGGCTTAAGTTATCTGGCTAACTGTGAAATCCTGCTTTGTGGAATACCCCCGAGTTCTGAAGGTGTATTTAAACGCTCTCTGACGATCAACAGCTCCTCCACAGCTGAGGCAGAACCTTTATACAGAGTCTGTCCTTAACGTAGCATCAGTGAAGATTCAGTAACTCTTGAGTTTGTTGGGTCTATATTTCAGTTCTGGGAACCATTATTCCATAAAAAAGGACTGAAATGATCAGTATTAATTTAACTCTCCTCTTTAATAACACCCTATTTTCTATTATCGTTTTCAAACCTCTCTTAGGCTGTAGGCTGAGTGGGTGGAGCTAAACTGCTGTAGGCTGAATGGGCGGTGCTAAACTGCTGTAGGCTGAATGGGTGGAGCTAAACTGCTGTAGGCTGAATGGGTGGAGCTAAACTGCTGTAGGCTGAATGGGCGGTGCTAAACTGCTGTAGGCTGAAGGGGTGGGGCTAAACGGCTGTAGGCTGAATGGGCGAGGCTAAACTTAAACCTGACAGCACAAATGTATATCATATATGTATAATACATAAAAGTTTATAGTAAATGTGGGGATACAGTTGAATAAAGAACCAATAACAAAATACTGCTGATGATCTAAACTATTAATGTACTTTCATGGGGGGCAATATTTGCAATATTTAGGGAGGGGCTAAAGCCCCTGAAACCCCTGCATGTTGGCTTTGATGACATCACACTAAAATTACAACAGGCTGTTTTTAATCATGCAAAACAGCAATCTTCATGATACTACTAATATAACCCCAAACATTAAAAATCAAATGAATAATCATAATTATACAACAGTTAGTTCCGGCCACGCAAGCTGATTGGTTGAGAAGCGTTCTAACTGTGCTGTTATTTCGCCATAACGTCACGGGTTTTTCACAAACACTGTATCACCAGAGAATTTGTAGAGAGGAGAATCACCACTCTGCAATGTCTTCCGGTTTTCTCAAACGCTAGAGGGCGCTCCAGAGTGAGTCCGAAATGAATGGGTTGATATGGAGCATTTGAGCAACATCATAGTTTATAAATGCTTAAACATTTTTAATGTAAAAGAATGCAATCATTTCCTGAGCACTGAACATCATAAAACATTTTAACACCGCTGCTATATTTTTAAGAGCTTTTAAACTCGAGTTATAGGAGTTTAAAACGGCGCCTCGTGTAAGTCCATGACGTCAGTGAGCGCGAACAGCCAATGAGCTGCTCCGCTCGCCAAACAATCACGCTCTAGCAGTAATGCCCGCCTTCTGCTGCCCAAAACCCGTTTGCTGTAGAAAAAGGGAAATATAGAGGTAAGATTTCTTTGTTTTTTTAGTGAAATACATCTTTCTACTTTCTAAAATTAAAGAAACGTTCTGGGCGAGTGATTAGAAACTATTTTAACTTTTCGTTTTTAGCCGTTGAACGCCATTTACTCTCATTCATTGAGGACTCACTCGCGGGCGCCCTCTGCTGTTTAGCAGTCCTGTTTTTGATATAACGGGGGGATAGGGAGTGGCCAGGCTCCTCATAAACCGGCTCTGGTATCACTCCGCTGAGACGCCGTTGCTAAGCAACGACTTTGATGGGAGACGCTCAAGCTATCTGAACGTTTTTACTTCTTACTTTGCCACAAACAGAAAATGGATACTTTAGAGATCACATTTGACCTACAACCGATTTAGTCAGACTCTGAAGATGAGACTAAACTGTCAGCTGGTCTGTGAGGAGCTGGAGAACGAACTGCCAGCTGTGCAGCGAGTGAACGGAGCTCGTTACTCTGACGTAGCAACAAGCTGCTCGTTAAGGAACTATAATTTAGCGGAAGGAATTGCTAACATTAAAACATATTAACGCCACATTCACGGCCCAATTTATTTATTTCTTACTTTATTTATTTAACTGTTGTATAAAAGCAATAGAACACTCGAGGTCGTGTGTTATCACAAATAACATCACGGCTGTGATGATCTACGGCGACCAACAGCCGTGATGTTATTTCGCGATAACACACTTCCTCTCGTGTTCTATTGCTTAAATAATATTCAGAAGGGCATAGATTCTAGAATGTCGGAATTATGATCCAGAACTATTACAATTTAACTAGCAGTTGCGGCAGTGTTAGGATTACAGTTTAAAGGTTCCTCTTGCATCATAGAAACTCATGTGATAAAATAAGAAAATAATGCAATAGTATTATTTTACATTATTTATTTTTATTTTTGTCTTTTTACTTTATAAAATTCATAATATTTGATCTCTGCTGTCCTCCAGAATGTGGCATCTGGAGAGTGAGGGCTTTTATTTTGACATAACAACTGTATTTTCTGAAAGAGAATCCCAGTATCTGCGCATACAGATACAAAGCAGTAAGACATCGAGTTTTTCATGATGTGATGCTGCTGCATTTCCTCAAAACAATTAACTCATATTTGACTAATAAATTACCTACTTGTCTAGTTATTGTATTCATTATAATCAAAAGAATAAAACTATGATACATTTCAAACACAATAGTATTAGAGATATAATATAAAAATACAGATGAAACCAGTGTAAATATTTGGAGTCTGCATGTTTATGTAATGTATGTTTTAGCTGTAATTGTGTTGTAATGTTGTTGTATATTAATATTCTGTAACGTAGACCTTTCCACAACATCAGATTGAGTTAATTTTACTAATAAACCCTTGATGAAATTATGATTGTGGGGTGATTAATGAGTGGGTTATTAACTCACTGTTGGACTTTAAGATCAGACACACAGTGCTGACCTCTGTGCAATCTGCAGCTCTTTACTGACACCCAGCGGCTGATTCACTGAACTGCTCTGTTTGCATTATAAAGTGATCAGCTCTGCGCTGCTGCTGTTTGTTGGACCCACAATTCAATTCTGGAAGCAGTTCTTAAATTTTATTTCATGAAAATGTATCGAAATAGTTAATAGTCTGTGAAATACTATCCCTAAAATGACAAACTTTACAATATAATGACATATAACCGATAGAATAAAATTAGAGCACTTAACTGTTTTCCAGGTGAAACGCTGCTGTTTCTGCACTTACCGCATTTTATGTCCTTTTAGTTCTTTAATTTATAAAAGTCGTACAGTTCCAGACGGTGTTCTCCATCGCTACTGCTGTTTAATACATTTTAGAAGAATTTCAGATTTATTAATCCAAATCAGTCTAACGGGCACGCATCTAAAAAATAACAGATTTTTATTTTATAAAACTGTTCAATGATCTCTGTTGCGTACACATTGCGTCTGAGGAGTGAGAGCTTTTATTTTGACAGTAATGGAGTCCTGCAGTCAGTGTTGTTTATCTCTGCTGCTATTAGTGTATCAGAGCCAATTAATTTTGTAGCAGGCGGTGCAGATACACACATCTCTTCTGTTATATAAAATTATTAAAGCACTTCATCGAGTAACATAGATCATATTTATGTATGACTTTATATACTGTTTAAAGGTTATTACTTTATTTATGTATTTTTAGTTTTGTTTTACTTTTATTTATGTGTGGATGTATGTATTTGTGGAAGTAAATGGGTTTAAAAGTGATTTTATTTTTATTTTTGATCATCTTTGATCTCTACTGTCATTCTGAATGTGGCGTCTGAAGAGTGAGGGCTTTTATTTTGACAGTAATGGAGTCCTGCAGTCAGTGCTGTGTATCAGATGTGTTAATAGTGCAACAGACATTAACGTGTCGCTCTGCTCTCAGTAATGAATTATAAAAAGAGCTGCTGTGAGATTAGAAGAATTATCTACTTCACTTTCACTCTTTATTGCATTTCCACTCTTTCAGGAACTCGCGTATCTGTTTAGAGTGAAGCTTTTATATCTCAGTCTGATACTCAGTTTAGCAGCGTTAGCAGATCCGCTCTTACAGCCCTTCTGTTTCAATCAGTGAATAATCAATAATATAATCAGTAATTAATCTCAGCTATTTATCAATCACAGGTGAATTCAATAATCTCGGTTATGAATCTTAGGCTGCGTCTTCTGATCTGGACAATCCACGGAGAGTTCATCTGAGCCACTATCCAATCACAGCACAGGGGGCGGGGCTCCTCCAGGCTCGATAAGAACGTGCTTCCGGTTTAAAGCCTCTGCAGCCCATCGGGAGGCGCTAATTCTCCAGTTGTGGATCTACAACCTTCAAAACAGCGGAGAAGCAGAAAATCTGCTCTGATCCACCAGCAGAGATACAGAAGATCTGCTTTGCTGAAGGTAATAAAGAGAATCCTTTATTTATTTACAGATAATTCTGTGATCCATTGTCAGTTTATTAAGTTAATGAACGAATAAGAGAACAGATGATGTCATTACATCACATTTTACATATATGATCCAAAGTGAATATAAAAGTGTAATTATCTGTGAATGTTGGAAAAAAATCAGCAAAATGAGGAGATTATTAATATTGATTATACCAACTATTGCACTGTGATTGAAGAAAGCAGTTCAGTTAGAGTAAAGAAGAACAGCTTGTTTGGTTTCTGGAGCTGGATCTTCAGGATTAATTGGAGTTTTTGGGAGATTTTTCATCTGTGCTAATTTACACATGCCCCACTACAGGATAACTGGGCCAATTTTGAGCTGATTTGCTCCTCCTGACAATCACAAAAGGTTTACTCATATCAGGGTGATCTTAAATGATGATCCTGTGCTGTGGATGGTCAGTAATCCAATCTGCTCCCAGTCCAGTCAGGGCTCCTACTGTGAATCGTAAATATTAAACATTTTCAGTATTTATGACTCATTGTCCTGTAGTTTGAAGTGGACGCAGATTCTCTGGAGTGATATGCCACTGCAGTCTGCGGAATGCTGCCACTTGCGACTCCACTGACAACATCATTCATCCACCACACACGTGTGAACGCAGCATTAGTTCGCGAGAAATCCCGGGATATAGCAGTTTGCGAGAACCTCCCGTGAATCGTGACCGTTGGTCGGGACTAAGCTGCTTAATCTGATACTGTGTGGTGTTTTGTTCAGGACAGGCATGTGTGGACTTTGATAACAACGATCAAGGACAAAGAAATTGTTGAAAAATGCAGTTATGTGTGGGGTCTTTCATGTTTTCAACATCGTTTAGGATTTGTCAAATACTGTAGTGTGGGCAGGGCAATACGCCACATCCTTGCCCAATGACTTGTTGGCCGACAGTGAGCACACCAGCGCCCCCTTACTCTAAATGTTTTGGGTTAAATTTTTCCCACCCCAATAAGTCTACATTCCCCCAAATTCATTCCAAAATGTCTCGTGGTCATCCACAGATGTTCTTGATATGAAATCCTGTGTTGTCCAGCGGGATTAGGAGGCAGGTGGAACAGCAGCAGTGACTAGTCTTAAGTTTTGTTCCTCTTTTTCTGAAATGGTTCTTCATCTACTTCCAGTGGAGCTTTTCCACCAGACGGTGCAGTACAGCATGATGTGGTTATTAATCTAAACCCAGAACTCTCTGGACCCTGTTTGACTCTCTGTGTCTGTTTCCTGCTGCACAGCAGAGCTCATGACAGTATGAGGAGCTTTGAGGAGGTTGTGTGGTGGTAATTTTATCTCATGATGCTGGTGTTACAGTGAATGTAAACAATTGTTCTGATCGCTGGTCTCCCTGTTTCCACCAGACATCCCAGTCTGTTACCCTAACTTCAGCGTTGGTGCTCAGGTACGGTACAGCAGTGGAACTGACGACAAAATGTGTGTTTGCGGGTTTGTAGCCGTGCTCTGTTTCCTGATCTAACCGTAGGAGTGACACCGCATGTTTGGACTCTCCTCTGATAATCTCTCTATTGAGTGCTGCTTCAGTTGATTTAGCTGCTACTGGAACTCCTGTCTGATTCTCAGAACCTGCGCAGGTAAATTTGTACCTGCTCCAATCTGGATTTTCTGTCTTTGCCCCACTGTGTTTAGTTCTGCAGTGAGTGGACTGTCCTGCTTATTTTTGTTACATTTTACATTGAATTTAAAATATTTTCTTTGTTTCTTTCTCTCCTCCAGAAACACATGATGTCCTGTTAGACATCTCCTCCTGGTCTTAGTGTCCACTTACCTACAGAGCTCAAATTCGCCTCCACAAACAGATTAGGAGGTCAGCAAGTGGAAAACATCACCTTGCTGAAATCAGGTGGAATCAAACACGAGAATATGGAGTCCCAAAGAAGCTCGGCTGCTCTACAGACGTCCTCTGGTGCTCTCCGCACTGATGCATCTCGCAGACGAAGGCAGAAGAGCACCAATGAGGAGAGACGTCACTGCTGCTCAGAGTGCGGGAGAACTTTTACTCAGCTGAGCGATCTCCTAAAACACCAGAAGATCCACGAAGAAGAGAAGCCGTATTCCTGCTCGGAGTTTGGAAGAAGTTTCAGTGCTGGGAGTACCCTCAAGAAGCACCGGAGTTCCACTCTACAGAGTGATCTGCAGCTACAGAGAGAGAAACCGTATCACTGTTCACTCTGTGGAAAGAGTTTTAATCGGAGAGGTAATCTGGAAACACACCAGCGCATCCACACAGGAGAGAAACCGTATCAGTGCTCAGAGTGCGGGAAGAGTTTTCATCAACGAGGTAATCTCCAACTACACCAGCGCATCCACACAGGAGAGAAGCCGTATCAGTGCTCGGAGTGCGGCAAGAGCTTCAATCAGCAGAGTCATCTCCAGTTACATCTTCGCATCCACACAGGAGAGAAACCGTACTGCTGCTCAGAGTGTGGGAAGAGCTTCAGCGACGGAAGTGCCCTCAAAAAACACCAGAACGTTCACATGGCAGAGAAGCCGTATCACTGCTCGGACTGTGGGAAGAGTTTTAAACGACAGAGCGATCTGCAGCTGCACCAGCGCATTCACACCGGAGAGAAACCGTACCACTGCTCATACTGCGGAAAGACGTTTAGACAAGCAGGTACCCTCACAAAACACCAGCGCATCCACACAGGAGAGAAGCCGTATCACTGCTCGGACTGCGGGAGGAGCTTTAATCAGAACATTCACCTCCAAGCTCACCAGCGCATCCACACAGGAGAGAAGCCGTATTACTGCTCGGAGTGCGGCAAGAGTTTTAATCAGCACAGCAATTTCCATCTACACCAGCGCATCCACACTGGAGAGAAACCGCATCACTGTTCGGAGTGCGGCAGGAATTTCAGGTTCTCTAACACTTTAAAGACCCATAAGTGCACCAAGAGGGAGGCGCTGTACATCCACCAGTCTGCAGACACCAGTTCCTCTAGCATTCCTTCTGAAATGAAGGGTGTTAATAGTGAGTTTGTGCTGCTGTAACAGTCTGTACTCTTTTGGGAAGGCCTTACAATAGATGTTGGAACATTGCTGTGAGGATTTGATTGAGCATTGGTGAGGTCAGGTACTGATGCTGGATTGTCAGTTCTGGATCACTCCAACTTATCCCGAAGGTATTGGACGGAGCTCCATCACTCCAAAGAACACAGTTCCACTGCTCCACAGCCCAATGCTGGGGGGCTTTATACCCCTCTAGCCTACGCTTGGCATTGGGCATGGAGATCTTAGGATCATGTGCAGCTACTCCAGAGTGTCCCATTCTATTGGTCAGTGCTTTTCTATGGAGATTATACAAACTGGGTCAGTAATGAGTGCGGCTGAACTCAATCAGTAGAAGAGCTGTTTGGGACTCCCAAATGGTGCAACTAAGGCTGTGTTCAGACTGCAGGCGAATCGGATTTGTTTCTCAAATCTTATGTTTTGAGGCGACTGTCATTTGCAAGTGGTCAGGTCAGATTTGTGTGTCCAGACATCACCAGCCGATCTGCTTGGGGTACTGTGGTAACAATGTGAGCGTGAATCTTTGGTGCTCTTCTTGAATCCCAGCACTTCCATCACTCTGGATTTGCGAGTGACGCAAATGACACTTTAAAATCCAATTTGAGTATCCAGACTGAGACATATCTGTGAAAATCCGACTGGAGTCGCATTTAAAACCACCTCCAAATGTGGTTTGGATCCGATTTGCAAAAATTAAATATTGTGAGTTTTTTTTTTGCTGTCCAGACTGTCAAAAAGCAAGATGGATACAATCTGGATCCCCGGTGATGCCTGGGATGCCTGGACTGGAAGTCCAAGAGAATACAGTTGTTCTCTCCCTTTCTGGGTGAGTAGGATGGTCCTCCCTCCCTCCATCACTCAGTTCAGTGCTAGCCAATGCAGCCATCTGTTAGTTTAACATAACAGAATTACCAGTTAGCACTCTCCTCCGAGTGTGTTGAGCTCATTACCAGCCCCTTACTGTGTTGAAGTGCGTGTGTTAGAGCCAGGGGAATGCTGAACGTGCAGGGCAGTGGGCCTCCGGGACCAGCACTGAGAAACACTGTTCTAGCTATCAGAGGAACCTGGCCATGTCTGGATATTTTTGGACACAAACTGTGTGTTCTAATGAAAGCAGCTGTTAGCATTGTGAGAAAAACAGGTCCTGACCTTCTTGTGTGATGATTGTATTATTATACAACAAAATGTTGATCCTTATTTGACCTTCAGAAGAGCATGAACTGGCTTGAGCATGAGGTTCTACAAGACACAGAACACTGTTTATAAACGTTTCTCCATCCAGAAGTGACTCTGTAGAAGTCTCTGCAGATCGGATGGCTGAACAGTTGCGCTGTGAGCAGATCTTCCACCAAAGATGCTGGGCGGGGTTGAGAGGAATGTGTTCCTGTAAGCCTGCAGTGATAATGCGCACTTTGTGACATGCTGTGTTATCGTGCTGGAAGTGTTAGTCTAAGCGAGGATAAACTGCAGCCGTAAAGGAAAGAACTTGGTTAGTAACCATGTTCAGATATGTTCTCCTATTCAGACGTTCTGCTGTGGGACCCTAACGTGAATCAGGAGAACATTCCTCTCTATCAGATGACCACCACTGAACTGAGCTGTGACACGAAACAGGATGGCTTCATGGACTTCTACTGTGCCCAGTTATTTATTATTTTCCTTAAAAAGATCTTAAAGTCATAAAGACAACTGACGACTGTTCTTAAAGGGGAACAAAAATTCTACATAATTAAACAGTTAAGATGTAAACAGAGTCGTTCAGAGTGGTTTGGTGTGAAACGCTCCGTTCTATAGAAACTTACCAAGTCAGCATTGTTCACAGTGGTAGTGATAGGAACGAGACGTCCACCTCTAAAAGCTCCCTCACATAAAGTTATTACATTAAATGGTTATAAGTACACTGCCTGAAGATTTTGATCTTAAAATCCATTCATGGTGGAGGGATACATGCAGGGTGTTGTGAGGCAAAATAGTCCCCAAAGAAAACTTCAGATTTTCCACAATTTTTCCATCACCAACATTCTATATAACACTCAGAAGACACATGTAGGTTCACTGGTGGTTTTGGAGAGTACATGAAATGTCTATATTTGTGTTGTAGTCATGCTGACCCCTGGTTCCTATCACCACTACTGTAAAGAAATCTGAACCATTTCACACCAAATCACTCTGTTTGCATCTCAGTTATGGAGGAACTTGGAGAATTGGAAAGAATTAAAGAATTGGTGGAACTCCCCTTTAAGCAGCGCCGTACATGAAGGAGGCTCTTTGATGGTGAGATGTGTTAATAATAAATAAACTATAATCATTTCATGTTGTCTAATTCCTTTGTATAGCTCAGTGTGAGAGTGTGTTTAATGATGTAGACTCGATTCCAGCCAAGTCAAAACTAGTGCAGTGGAACCAGAGCCGGTTTGTACAAGTTCTCTGGTGGAACAACGCTAATGCTAAGTTAGCTAGTCACCCAGACAAACGTCAGCTTTAGCTTTGTCTCATTCTTTGCTGTCTGACTAGCTTCCTCATCTATAAACTTTCAGTGTTCATCTGACCTACCAACTGTGAGGAATAATCAGCATCGAGTTCAGTCTGAAATCAACAACGTCTGTATTCAAGCTACGTTTTACTGGGATGTAACGTTGTGGATGTTTCCTGATGCAGTTAGCATCATAGATATACATACCAAGATACCATGTTGTTTGTTATTCTCTATCTGAGGCGATACATTTGCGCATATGCCATGTTGGAGCGGTCAAGATCTGCTTGTGAACAAATTTACTTGTATTGATAGATGATGAGTCTCAGGATTAAATTGGCCACAACTTCCTTACTATTCAACCGATTTTCACCAAATTCATTTTGTTATAATCCTCAGACATTGATCAATCTAGGTTGCCTGGACTGCTCTCAGTAGCTTTCATTTCTTAAGTAACTGATCATGCTAATTAGCTGTCCGGACCAGCAGAAAAGTATTCAGTCCGCACCGGACGTTAAAAACCGAGTTTAGCGCGAGCTCCGGAAGAAACACAATCTCCCAATCACTTCTAATCTTAATACACATAAAAAATAAACCCCCCAAAACATAGTAGGGAGGACGAAGCTAAAGTTGGCTTCCTATATTCACCAGCTTCTTGTTGATGTCTTTCTGGTGCCTAAGCCGCACCATTTAAGGTGGAATGGGAAAATTCGAACAAGAAGCTGGCTGATGCACCATTTAAGGTGGAACGGGAAAATTCGAACAAGAAGCTGACTTCAGGTTCTTGTAAAAAAGGTGCTAACGCTAATTTATTATGAGTATCTACATGGATTAAGGAATGTAACTTACCTAGCTACAAAGCATTAACCATAATTGTATATAAATAACTACTACATCAAGTTAAGATCACTTGAATAGGCTATTAAATGAAATAAGCTTAATATAAAACCAGAGGAAAAACAATCACAGCAACTGGTTCTTTGTGTCTCACCAACCACACGGCCATATCTACACATAAACATCACACAGACAATACGCATCACACAAACATGAGCATGGATCGCTGCGTTCCCTTCGTTATATAATCCTATCCCACTTTCTGAGTGTGATATACTTGAAATAGTATAATTCTGGACAGTATTTTTCTTAAATTGATGCTCTTGTTGTGTTTGCACTATAACGACCAGAAGAACATCCCCGTAGCATGGAATGGTACAACTTCTTAATGTAACTCTGCAAACAGTAACCAGCTATATTTTCTTACTCGTCCAGCATTCACGTAGGACAGGTTTCTATATCTTCTCACAAAGCTTTAGCTCCCCCTAGAGGTTCTCTACAGACACCACATATCCCTTTCTCTTAGGAAAATGAACAGTCTGGAAGAATAAGCACTTCCAAAAATAACCCTCCTTAACAGTGAATACCACTACAGTATTCAAAAGAAGAAGTAGGAATATTTTTCACACCATTAATGTGCCATTTGCAAGCAAGCATTACTTCCATCTTGACTACAATATAACAAAAATGAAACGTTCAATGCAATAACAATTACATAAGACCACAAAGCAGCTACTGTATATCAGTTGTTATATACACATGCTCTACATATGACTGTGTTTTGTCATCATTTACATCACATAATCTTGAGCCCATACAGGTGCTTTTCTAGACCTTGATGAGGCTCTGACCTGTGTATTTTATGAAGGCTTTGCAGTGTCCATCAATAAAAAAAACACTTGAACCCTCCCTCTCCTGCTATAGGAGCACAGGTGCTAGGTGAGATGCATTCCAGCACTGTACATCTGACAGCCCCCCTCTTCTCCATGACTTTGAGGGGTCCCCCAAACTTAGACTGAGTCTTTGGAAGAATGCCAGGTTTCCTCACTCAGACATACGATCCACACTAAAAAGAAACATGCCTCTTGTCTGTGTATGATTTGCTTTTGGCTTGTTGTGCTTCCACCCTATCAGAGATCTCCAGTAATGGTGGTGTAGTGTGGGAGACCTTGAGTCTTCCATGTAACAATTCTGCAGGGGAGCACTGGGTTGTAGCATGTGGAGTTGCACGGTACGCTTCCAAGAAATCTTTGGTGAACTCTTTCCACTCTTTGTGCTCCAGTGAAGAGGTCTGCAAGCAGTCCTACAAACTTTGGTTGAATCGTTCAACTTCACCATTAGCACAAGGATAGTATACAGATGACGTTCTGTGCACAATTCCTCTATCCTGTAGAAATAATGCAGACTCATGAGAGGTGAACTGTGTTCCATTATCGGAAATCAGTTCCTTTGGGTTGCCCTCTCTACAGAACACTCAAGACAGAAACTGGATGACAGTCTGTGTTGTAGCATGTGCTGTAAAAGCAATCTCAGGCCATTTGCTAAAATAATCTATCAGCGTGATCACAAAGCGACAATACAGGGGTGCATTGTCAAATGGCCCCATGATGTCAATTGCCAGATTTTCCCAAGCACTGGTAGGGTATGGCACAGGTTGCATTGGTGTTGGATGTGTGACAGCAGACTTGTCATGTAACT